TCCAGTAGGAGGATGAAACGGGTCGTCTCCATATCCCGTCCGGTATGGGCGCCATAACACATTAACCTCATTACCCCGTCCGGTATGAGGGTGAAACGGGCCGTCCCCATTCCCCGTCCGGTATGGGCGCCAAAACACATAAGATCTCCATACCCCGTCCGGTATGGGAGACCACAATCCCGGTAGGGTTCCCTACGGACCCGGTCCGTCCACCATCTCCCAGGATATCTAGTCAGGCTGAACATATTATACAATTTTCATTCACATAATCTTTCATTCTCCTTTTCCCTCAGTCAGCATTATCAATCACATACAAACAAGCAAAACGATAATTTATGCCAAACAGACAACATATAGCATCAATATCCCGGTGATTCAATCCATAATCAATAAAACAGTAAAATATGCACACGAAACTATAAAATGAAAACATCGAACCTCATGCTGCATTTAAAACTGTAAAACAGGCCAAATAACAGTTAACCGACAAACACACTAGACTCGGGCTCCATTAGCGACCTTAAGCAATTTCACACATTCGTTGATTCATGAAATACCGTTTTATCATTTATTGAACTTTAAAACCGTGATAGGAAATAGGGTGAGGGGTCCTTACTCGTTTCGGGGTCCGAACACGGCTTCATAGTGCTCTTGCAGGCTGTCCCTAATTTTCCCTGAATTTTCCTTGGGGAACTGAAACGCACTACTGGTACCTGCACGTGTTCCAAAAAAAACCCAAATTAGGCCCAGGGCCTCTTTCGGCCCAAATCGCAACTCCGGCATGGCGGCTCCGCCGTGCTCCGGCGACGGCGCCGCCGCTGGCGGCGGCGAGTCGCCTCGGGTTGGCTGTTTTCGGCCACACTCGCATCGGTCCCTATGAGAAAACAACCCTAGGGCCCTCGGGGGGCCAAAAAATCACAGAAAAACGGGGCTTACCGGCGGCGGCGCTCTCGGGTGCGGCGGCTCTCCGGCGAGGTTCGTGTTTTGGTGATTCGGCTCCGGTCAACCTGTAGAGAAAAGAATGGTGATCACGGTGATATAAAAATTGCATCAAACGGAGGCCGGGAAGGGCCTCATCGGAGGCAAAAACCGAGAAGGGGCGCGGCGGCGCCGCTGGGCTTCGGCCGTGTATTCCGGCCGTTTGGCCGGGATTTTGGCTCCGATTTGGCCACAGGAGGAATCAGCGTGGAAAAACGAGTCGGAGGTACGAAATTTACCTCGATCGGCGGTCGGAAGTTCCTCCGGTGTGGCGGCGGGTGGCGGCGGCCGGCTTCTGGTTCGTCTTCTCCGGCGAGCGGCAGGCGGCTAGGGTTTGTGGTCTGGTGTGGGGGTTCTATTTATAACCCCTTGCCCTTTGATCTCAGCCATCCATTTTGATTTAATCTGGACCGTCCGTTTTTTATTAAATCTGGGCTGTCCGTGCGATTAAATCTGGGCCGTCCGATCGTCCGCTTGATCTGGGCCGTCCGATCGCGCCCACGCGGATCGCCAACGTGGCCCTTTTTGGAACGACGTAGTATTGCCACGTGGCAGGTCCTGGTTGGCCGAGACTGCTGACCGGGCCTGCTGACGTGGCTGCTGAAGTGGCTTTTTTTTTTTCTCCTCCTTTCCGGGTGCTACAATATTTTTGGTGCTCATACTGGATGGGGTATGGAGACAACCCGTTTCACCCTAATACCGGACAGAATATTGAGAAAGTGATATTTTTGACGCTCATACCGGATGGGATATGGGGACGACTGGCTAGTTGACAATGTTGAATAAGAATTCACGCGTAGATGAGACATCCCTATGGACCCCAATGAATACCAGTAGGTAGATAAAAAGAAAAAATTGTTGTTTTGGCTAATTGAAAATGAAATTATGATATTATTTGTGTTATTGCTTCTATAAGTCATTTTTTAAAACTTCGCTGCAGTAAGTATGTAATAAATAATTTTATTTATAATAAATAAATTTACCTAAATTAAGAGTTCTATTAGTTGTTTTTATGATTTTTACCAACATTCATTTCTGTATCGGTGAGTAGTGTGACATTCTTACTGAGTTAGTGTATCTCATTCTTTCATTAACCATTTTAGATCGAGAGGATCAAGATACAGATATCGATCCACAAGATGGTTGCGAATAGGATGCCCAGTTGTTTACTTTCTATTTATTTCTTTAATTTTTCATTTATTTTTTTAGAAGGATCATTCGCATAACTCTATTGGGTATTCTAAATTATTGTGTAAAAAATGTGAACTCTAACTTTATTATTTCGTTTATGCATTCAACTTATAATTTATTTATTTTTTTAAATTTCAAAATGTTACATTAATTATGGGTATTACAGGATTAGCTTACCTCTCATCAAGAACTAAATTAACTCCTAAATAATTTATAAGTATGTAAACCATATATGGGAATCAACATGTTAATTTAGCTTTAAAAAAAAAAAAAGTAATAATGATTTGTTTGACTTTCAAATGCTTCGAATTAAAATTAGGATAAAATTTTAAAAAATACAAAAGATTTAAAGTTGTATTTTATTATTTTTAACACGTTTCAATCCGATTAGA